AAAATTGGGGTTGAGTACTCTTTAAGAGACTTATAATAAGTTTAGTCTGTAAAGAAAACTTATTTGGATGTAAGTTTATTTTTAATATTACTAATAAATAAATAACTTTACTATTTTTTAAAAACTCCAAAATGCTCTTCTAATGACTTAAAAAATAAATCTTCAACATTAAATCAGTTTCCTAAATAGTTATCTTTGATTCACACTTAATGAAAGATTCTTTTTATAAAATTTGACATCACTACCATTTCTCTCTCTCATTTTTTTTGCTGAGAAGACTATGGTTAATTTAATATTGAATATTACTATGTATGTTATTATTTTTTTTATGATACTATTTTTTTGTTGCACATATTACTATTAATATTGAATGTTACTAATTTTTTGAAATATCAATTTCAATGTTATCTTTTTTGTTGACCATGTTATTTTTTTTTTGTTGATCATGTTATTAAAAAATAATAATATGCCTGAAGGCACGGTATTACTCATAAATTAGTTACAAATATTTGCTCATACATAAATATAAAGTAAAATACAACATTGTAGTAAACGACAAACAAAATGAATCCATTAATATTTTTTAAAACATCAACCTACATGCAAAATTATGATAATTGTCACGTCACGAAAATTATGTTATAACTACTGAAACATAACAATTCAGACATCTGAAAAATTATATCAGTCGACAATATTTAATGTTCTGTTTTTGATTTAAAATCCACGATTTTAACATTCATAATCAACTTTATCTAAATAATAATAGAATTCATAACTAATAGAATAAAAATTAAAACAATACTTTCACAAATAAACTAAGTCTACAGATGTTGTCAAATGACCAAATATAACTATCAAAAATTCGACCGACTTTCAAAAGATACGATTTGACTATTGAATTTGTATGATTCGAGTTTATAACAGTGTTTTTAATTTTATATCATTCTTCTCGGTTATTTATATTTTTTTAATATATTTTCTTAAACTAAACGTTATTTAATATTGGATTATTTAGTAAAGATTGTTGATTCATGTTGTTCACTAAATATTGAATATGTATGATTCATGTTCATAGTATTGCTTATAATTTTGTATCGTTTCTCTCGCTTGTAATTTTGAATCATTTTTCTCAGATATTTAGATTTGGATTATTTAGTAAATATTGTTGCTTTGTGTTGTTCACTAAATATTGAATTTGTATGATTCATGTTTATATATGAATTTAATCTTGTATATTTTAAATGTTAAAGCATATTTTCTTTAATATATTTCTTGATATCTGAGTTGCCCAATAACTTGAATTTAATCTCGTATATTTTACATGTTAATCATATTTTCTTTGTTAAATTAGATTTTTTGCAAGTTATGCTTTTTTTTATTGATTATAAAAAAAATAAAATTGACTATTGAATTTGTATGATTTTGAGTTTATAGTAGTGCTTTTAATTTTATATCATTTTTCTTGGTTATTTATATTCTTAGTATATTTTTTAAAATTAAACGTTATTTAGTATTGAATTATTTAGTAAATTTTTTTTTGTGTTGTTCACTAAATATTGAATTTGTATTATTCGTGTTCATAGTATTGCTTATAATTTTGTATCGTTTCTCTAATTATAATTTTGTATCATTTTTCTAGGGTATTTAAATTTGAATTATTTAGTAAATATTGTTGCTTTTGTGTTGCTCACTAAATATTGAATTTATATGATTCATATTTGTATATGAATTTAATTTTGTATATTTTAAATGTTAAGCATATTTTTTTAATATATCTCTTGATATTTGAGTTGCTTAATAACTTGAATTTAATCTTGTATATTTTAAATGTTAAGCATATTTTCTTTGTTAAATTAGATTTTTTGTAAGTTCTATTTTTTTTATTGATTATGGAAAAAAATAAAATTAACTATTGAATTTGTATAATTCGTGTTTATAGTATTGTTTGAATGAAAGAGAGGGATACAAATGAATATTTTCATGATATATATTATATATCTAATATTTATTACATAATTTTTCTTCAGAGAGAGATATAAAAGAATATTTTTGTTATATACTATCTTTCTCTATGATATATGCTATCCATCTACAGAGAGATATAGTATTTGCTTGAATCAGACACTCTAATATTTTTGTGAGATACAAAGAAAAATATTGTGAAAAATTGATACTTTTTGCTTGAATTGAGTATGAGAGAAAGATACAGATGAATGAGAGAGAGATTTGCTTGATTTAAGGAAAATATTTGAGGGAATTAAATTTTAGAATATCAATTTTGGAAACTATAAATTTTGAGCAGTAAAAATATTTCAAAAGAGTTAATGTGGTACGTTGGATTAAAACGATCCAAGACGTCAATAATTTGAGACAGTTTGAGATAACGTAGTCCGTTGAATGATGACTTTTTTAGTTACGAAACGATCTGGGCCACTCTTTGCCTCTACAATTCAAAATCGTTCTACTTTATTATATAGATGTGATATATACTATCTATCTACAGAGAGATATAATATTTGCTTGAATCAGACACTCTAATAATTTCGTGAAATACAGAGAAAAATATTGTGAAAAATTGATACTTTTTGTGTGAATTGAGCATGAGAGAAAGATACTAAGGAATGAGAGAGAGAGAGAGATTTGCTTGATTTAAGAGGAATGAGAGAGAGAGATTTACCTGATTTAAGGAAAAGATTTGAGAGAATTAAATTTTAAAATATCAATTTTGGAAACTATAAATTTTGAAGAGTAAAAATATTTCAAAAGAGCTAATGTGGTACGTCAGATTAAAACGATTTGAGACGTCAATAACTTGAGACAGTTTGAAATAACGCAGTCCATTGGATGATGACTTTTTTAGTTACGAAAACGATTTGGGCGGCTCTTTGTCTCTAAAATTTAAAATCGTTCTATTTTATTATATAGATGAGAGAGATAGAAATAAATGATCATATTCTATATATGGATATGGATAGATAAAAGAGATAATTTTAATGTTAATAAAACTCTTAAATTTAGGAGTTATTAATTTTTAAATTTATTGTAATTAAATATAACTAATGAGGATATTTTAGGCAATAAAAATCAAAATAAACTTAATATTAAACAAATTTTTTTAATAAACTTATCACTAAATAAATTGACAGAGTGGACCGACATCTAAATTTGTCTATTATTACTATTTTCCCCTCTTTTGAAAGACAGATAACCAAATTATTTCACAAAAACACAAAAAGCTTGAAGTCAAAGCCACGTAAGCAGTTGAATTTAGCACATTCACGGATATGAAGGGTTTGTTGGAACAGTTAACTTCATCTTTCAAGTAAGTCAGCCGATAGGGACAGGAAAACTAATGTCCCATGCCAGCTGGCTGGCTATAATGTCAAATTAAATTAGCCAAAAATATAATAGTTTTTCTCTCTAGCTTCTAACTCAACTCACGCACTACAATATCATCACCCATTTGGAGCAAAAACCCGTTTAGGGAGACGTTCTATTTTTTTTTTGGTTTTTTTGAGTCAAAATAAAAAAAATAATCACATGTATGTATTGATTATGTCTAAATAGTTTCCAAAATATGAATTTTAATTTTTTTATATAATAAATAATATTTTATGAATATAATAAACTAAAAAAATTAAGTGCGACCCAAAAAAAAGAGCCTCAAAATAACTTTTTTTAGGTAAAAAAATCATTATGATAGCTGATGAAAAAGCCGAGAGCCAAAAGGGCAGAGCTATTTTATGTTGTTTTGAACAAAACAACATTAAAAAGCTGATAAAAAAGCTAGTGAATTAATCATCTCAAGAAGTAATAAGTGAAGTTTAGTCACACGTTTACACATGCAATTAGTTGCTTTTGTAGTCTAACTTAGTAGTTACATTTGAATTACAAGTTTTTGCTATTATACTAAGCAACATCCTTATGTTTAGTACCCACTTGTTGAATAGCATTAGCATATGTTGGTATAATAAGTGTGAACTAATCATTTTTATATGTTTTCCAATGCCCCTTTTCTTTTTGTTCTTTAAGTAGAAGTTACGAATCTATGAGCTGTCCTAATATTGAAGAGAGTTGAAGTTAAATACCAAACTCTCTTGACTGTTGACTTTTTAGGAATTTGATTAAGTGAACAATCAATTAAACACCATATCCTTTGAACAAAAAAAAAAACAAAACTCATATCATATCTCTAAATTTTATTATTTTAATGGGTATTTTTATAATTTTTGTGGGTCATTTTATAATCAAAAAATTTATCACTTTTATGAATAAATTATCACGTTTGTAGATATTTTTACCAATATTATGATAAATATTTTTATAATTTTTTTCGATATCACAACAGTGATAAAAACGTCTATAAATATAATAAAAATTGGTACAATATCAAAATTTTATTTTTTTGATACTGTAGACAAGTCCCAACTCATATTAAAATGTTATCATGTTTGTAACATTGTATGTGTTAAGAATGGTAGGTGATATAAAAAAATTTTAGGATTTATTAAATTTTTTAAATACAATCCCCCAAAAAATAAAATAACATCTAAGCAAAGATAGAATCATCGCGTGTAAAACGATCATTAACACTTGTAATCCTTTGGTATAGAGATCACTCCAAAGAATTACGCGACGGTGGGTTTTAGTAAACTTTCATGATATTGAGGCAATTTTCAATTTCTGTGTTTTTCACTTTCTTGAGAGAGAGAGAGAGAGAGAGTTCAAATAATTGGAAAGTGGTGGCAAAAAAACCTTATAATTATGATGTTCCAGAGAAAAAGTTTCTAATTTTATACAAAATTAAACCGTCAGCTAATCTAATCTATACAACTTTCTAATTTATATATTCAAATGATGAGTAGGTTTAAGTATATTTATAATTTAACAAAGACGACAATGTCTTGGATATGATTCATCAGCGTTTAATCCTTGACTAAACGCCCTTTCTCAATCTGCGTATTGAATTTGGCCGCCCCCACCTTTTGCTTTCAAATATGAACAAGTCATAGCCCTTTATTCAACTCTAACACAGTTCATGTTCATTGCTTTTGTTTTCGTTGTTTGATTGAAGAATCCTACAACTTTTGCAAGACCCACATTTTTTCAATCCATATAGCCACATTAGTTTGTTGATTGAAGCACAGATTTAATGGCCGGAGTCAGAGACCCACCTTCAGAACTCCAAATCAGAGTCCACTCACGGCGAGGGGGCAACATCATCCACCCAGTAGAGGTAGAAACGCCGCAGTTATCGTCTTCTGCTCCGACTCCGGTGGTTTACAGAGAAGTAAAGCACTTCAAGAACTGGTTTCCATGGTTAATTCCTGCCTTTGTTGTTGCCAATGTTATTATGTTGGTGATTACTATGTATGTCAATGATTGCCCAAAGAATTCTGTCTCTTGTCTTGCTCGGTTTTTGGGAAGGTTCTCGTTTCAGCCCTTTAAAGAAAATCCGCTTCTTGGGCCTTCTTCTACTACGTAAGCTTCAATTTACCTTATATACACTTATTTGTTTCAGTTATATAAAAACCAACGAATGATTTTGTATATTATATGTTGTCTTGTTTTCATTTACTAACTCTACTTCAATTGATTCACTTCGCAAGCGAAGGCTTGAAAGATCTGTTACTGGTAGAGTTATTGAACAAGTGATTGAACATCGATGTTTGGGAGGGGAAGAAGAATGATTATGAACATTCGATGACTCTCTAAATTAAATGTTGTGCCATTGAAGTTAATAAAATAGGCTACTAGATATGAAACTCAATTGATGGATGTAGTAATGAATGTGGATTGATACAAAATGAACTAACATCTAAGCAAATGTATGCATTTTTCTTTTCCTTTAGGCTAGAGAAGATGGGGGCATTAGATGTGAGTAAAGTGGTCGACAAACACCAGGGATGGCGGCTTATTACCTGCATTTGGTTACATGGAGGAGTTTTCCATTTACTCGCCAATATGTTGAGTCTATTAGTCATTGGCATTCGGCTTGAGCAAGAATTTGGATTTGGTACGTACTGAAACTTTGGTTTAATAATATTCTCTTTGTTACTGTACACAAATCACCACTCAATGGTCTTAACATGATAAGACATTAGTCAAAAAGTTTTGATGGATGTTGGCCCTTGAATTAGCGACATTCAAAACATGGTTTGAGATCTAGGTGTTAGTTTGTTTTTAGCTATACTAAATGACAATTATGTTTCATTTGTCTGATTTTAAGCTTAGAGAAAGCAAAATTTGATATTTGTGTAAACAATTCTGTCTGGATTAGTTGATCGTCGTATATCATTCACCATTTCACCTGTCTTTCTTACCATTTATCATGTGTTATTTGTTTTTATCAGATCAGAGGAACATAAGGTATGAAAAGATAAATTGATTTAGTTGCCTCCAATAAAACCAATATCCATTTTTATTTTGGGATCTTGATATACTTGCAGACATTGACATTTGGATGCTTAGGTAAGACATATTTACAGAGTTCTAGTTTTCGTACCCATTGGAAGTTGATTGACTTATTCGTTTAGAAGTCCAATTCTATCAATGTCTTGGGGATTTCAAAATTGGTCTACAATTCCAAGACATACTTAGGTATGAGAGACATATGAAGTGGTTACAGCGTGCATTTGAATTATGGTCAAGGCTGTGTTATAAATTATGATATTCAAAATATTTTGGCTTCCGATTCTTACTGTTTCTTGCTTTATTCTGTAGTGCGCATTGGTTTGCTATATGTCATATCTGGATTAGGTGGGAGTCTGTTTTCGGCTCTTTTCATCCAGTCTAATATTTCTGTTGGTGCTTCTGGGGCACTTTTTGGATTACTGGGAGGCATGCTCTCTGAACTCATCACAAATTGGACTATCTATGCCAATAAGGTATTAAAACTTCTCTTAACCATGGCTTTTGTGAAATTTATAGAGCTCTCTAGCTATTTAACTTAGAGTCTCATATGTTCAGGCAGCAGCGCTGTTGACCCTAGTGGTCATTATTGTTATCAATCTAGCAGTGGGTATCCTTCCACATGTCGACAATTTTGCTCATATCGGAGGGTTTCTTTCTGGTTTTCTTCTCGGGTTTGTGTTTCTGATCCGCCCGCAGTTTGGATGGGTTAGCCAGAGATATGCTTCTCCTGGATATTCTTCAGTCTCAGCCAACCCTAAATTTAAGGCATATCAGTGCATACTCTGGATCACATCTCTGATCCTTCTGATCACAGGGTAAGCCTGTGAAACTTGTTACTGCATTTCTCAACATAATCAATCTCTTGATTATTTTGGCTATAGAAAAAGGAAAAAAAATAAAAAATCTCTTAAGATATGGGAACCTTGGCGGTCTAAGCCCTAGTATTACCCAGAACATCTTGTACTTTTTCTAAATAGTCTGACAGTTTAATTGTCCATGTTACTTGACTATTTTCTCAATGGTCTTGCTATGTTGTGGTTCGATTACTTTCTCAATGTTTGAAATTGTCATAACAACATGGATGAGAAGGGACTAATTAAATAAAAAGGTGGCTCAATTCTCTTCTCTTCTAATTGTCTGGATGTTTGAACTTTATAGTGCACACAGTATTCATCATCAAACCAAACCAAGCCGAGCTTTTGTCCATATCACTTGGGGTATCGCACATGAATCCTTTTTGTCCATTCTAATATGTTCGGTTACATTACACACACACTCCTATCCTATTTCACTACATATTCCTTGTCAATTTTGGTCTTGCCCTTCTCCTTTTACGTCACGATGGGATGCGTATCTTCCCTGCAACTCAACCGATATGTTTGATCCAATCATATGCAAGGATCAAAATTTTGTTTCGGTACATTGTTTCGGTCACCTAAGAAATAAAAACGTTTCAACATGTTTTGGAAACATTTTGACCTGTTTCGAAAACATAATAAAAAAAAATAAAAAAATTAAGAATTATTTTTTTAAAACATTGGTCAAAACATACCAAAATATCTTGAAATACATTAAACATTCCGAAATAATTGTGCAAATGCATTGAAATATAACAAAACATTTCAAAACATTATGGAACACTTCGAAGTATTAGAATTTCGATTTCATCACTAATTCATTTTGGTCTCCTTGGAAACGGAAATGTTTCGGATGTTTCGAAACGATATTTTGATCCTTGGTCATATGATAAAATCATCTATTAAGCATTAAGCTTATTCTGTTTCAATTGGCAAGGAACATTGGATCCTTCTCTTGGCACCATCAAAGATGTCTATTTAAGTTTGGAAAACATAATTGAGGTCCATTGGAAACATGGCGGAAAAGTTAAACTTGTGCCTGCCATCAAGTGCAAACCAGAAATATATACTAAAGTAGGAGATAAAATGATCTAAAAAACCAATTGAACACAGTTGTGTTAATGACTGTTCAGTAAATTTGCACCTGCAGTCTGATTCCCACCCCACCCTCTATCATCTAAAGGCATGATAATTTTGACAGGTTCACCGTTGGCTTGGTTTTGGTTCTTCGTGGAGTTGATTTAAATGATCATTGCTCTTGGTGCCATTATTTGACTTGTGTTCCTACTTCAAGGTGGAGCTGTAACACAGGGCCTGTCTCGTGCATGGTAAGTGATTGTTAAAGTCAACCTGTATTTCTATGAATCCCAATGGAGTAGTCCTGTCTTAAATGCCAAACAAATGTTTTCAAACCTGGAGTGCTTTGTGAAAGAAATCTAATGAAGAGAAGAAAACGAAACTTGACTGTAGTATTGCTTACAAATACACCCACCAAAAAGCAGGGTAGTACCTATCAAATGCACACATGCATCGTTTTAGCCATAACCTTTTTTGAATTATAATAAGATTTTCTGATATGGAAAGTTTCACTTTTCAAATTGAGTGGCCAAACCAGCAGTCGAGACGTGTTTCTTTCATTAGTTTTGTTCCCTATCCATTAGGTGAAGCAGAAGTCATGAGTGTAAGACTTATACTCAGAAGAACAGTGCCTGATTTCTGCCAAATGAATATCATGAGTTGTATGGGTGAGTTCGATGTGTATTAACTCAATGTCATTCTTGCAGTCTGAGCAAATTAGCGACCAGCTCACGTTAACATGCTCAAGCAGCGGAAAAAGCAGGACATATATATTGTTAAATGCCACCACTTCTCAGATCCAGGGGCTATGTGCACAGCTTTGCAATTGATTTATGTGTAATTGAAGGTGGTGCAAGTTGCTTTGATGTATTAATACATGGTAAGAGTTTTGAAAATTGCTTTTTATGTTGTTTTGCCTTCAGTTATTTCATGCTTTTCCTTTGTAAATTTGACCTCTGGGGAAATAATGGTTGATTGATTTCTGGATATAAAACAGCTCAAATTAATAGTTAATTCTTTTGGTGGAGCAAGAATAATGTTTTAATACTGTCAAAGTGTGATTTGTAAATTTTTACAGGAGATAGATATTGGGGCCCGCATTCCTAACTGTCATTTGCATTTGGCTCGAAAAATGAACTGTTTGAGTTTGTCTTGTTATTCCAGGAATGAGATTCTAATCAAACAATTTCAATCCAAACATGAACATAAGTTGTACAACATGGGTATTAGCTTATCAAGTTGTCTTCTAGTCCGAGTGGAAAAATATACCAAAACTGAAGCATGAATAGTGAAAGAAAGAGAAGGGGAAGAAGCAGCAGGGTACCTTCTATGAGGCTAGGATTGAGACTATGGTCTCCATTCTCTCTAAGTGGAGTAAGCTCCCTTCTCCTTCTCTTCTTAGATTTGGTTGCTACGCTTCGCTTTTGTTGGTACGTTGGGTGCTAGAAAGGGAGGTTTTGTCAAAAAAAAAATAATAATAATAAAGAAATTGAGAAGGTAAAGTCAGAAAAACACAATGGTAAAAGGGTAAAGTGATATCAGAGCCTCAAACATCTGTTGTTTCACCATGTTTATTACTTCAATCACTTGTCTTGAGTGTGCCTTTTGGTTAGCATGCATGTTAGATATATCAGATGGTGACCATTCAATACAGATTAATCCAATGTAGATGATCTCTTCTAGGCGCTGCCCATAAGCTTATAATGATAAACGTTTTCTATTCTTAAGGTTGCATTGCCAAAAGTGGGTCCAAAAGCCTCAAACTCTGAACATATTTATTGTTAACAGAAGGCAGAGGATACCATATATACATAGGGGCCTTGGGGTTCGAAAATGGTAAATCTGATGGATGGGTCAGTGGTTAACAAGTCTCATTCTGCGTTTCCTGTTTCCTTTGGGAAGGTTCAACCCACATGCTCCTCATTGTTCTTTCCTGTCACCCCCATGTTCCTCTCTCTCTCTCTCTCTCTCTTCATGTTACTTGTGTATACAAAGTTAGAGACAGATTTTGAGCCTTTAAACAAGTTTTTGGTGAAATCGGATTTTCTCGCTTATTGTTTAGGTTCGAGTCTCTATAGTTACGGTAGTTTGGTAAGATTAAACTTACTCTTTAATGCACAGAGTACGCGGTAAGACCTTACGGCCTCAGCGTAGATACAGTGAGGTCTCCTGTAGATAATTGTGAGGTACTGAGGGACAATGCTCCTTCACGGATACGTGGAGTGACTAATTTGCATATTCATTTTATTCACTAAAAAAAAAAGAAACAAGTTTTCAGAAGCAATAATGATGGATTTAAGAGTCCATGCGTGAATGTGTTTTTTTTGAAGATGATGGTAACACCTTTTCGATATTTTTTCTATTCGATAAGAGATTCGATTTCCGAATAATAACTAATACTAAAGTAAGACAAGAAAAGTCTCTCTCTCTCCTTTTTGAAATGTGAACCTGTTATTACACATTTCAACTTGCACTGAAGAACGATAGCATAATTTGCAAGTAAGCCAATGGTTCAGAGCCCAAGTACAGGAAGTCATAGTCATCTTTCAATGGTTGCACATGGTGCACTGGTAAAATGCTTGCTTTGCAGTTGGGCTTCACAGAGAGGAAACATAGTGACTTTTACCATAGGCATAGAAATTTTGGAAGATGAAACTGGGACAAGTAGCCCTTAATTTGCTGAGAATGTTTAAGTGACCTAGCATGTATACAACGCGGCTTTTATTTATGGTTTCAAATCATCCATACCGAAATCAACCGCTGGAGATTCATTTCGTTATGGTATTAAATCGGTACCATAGCCTTATCCTTAAATCCATAATTCAGATATAGTGGATTCTTTTTTTTTTTTGAACGATAGAGTGTGGAATTGATTACCCTAACTTATAAGAACAAAGTTGAGAGAGAGAGAGAGAGAGAGTAGGGATTTTTTTTAGTTTAATGTTAATTTTTTAAAGTTTGGGCAAAAAAACCTCGAATGAAAGCTTATGTAAATGCAAAAAAATTATAGTTTTTCAAACTCATGGTTACAACCAAATCTTAAATTTTCATGATGTTTTTGGTTTTACAATTGATGTGTGAATTGAAAAGGAAAATGATAAGATTTTTACGTAGATAAAAACAAGTGGGCAAATAATACCCTGGCTAACTAAGGTTACGACAGAGTGAAAGAATATGTTTTTAGGTTCGCATGCCACCTTCGTGACAACCGGAGTTTCAGACCACTCTCCTATAATAGTCAAANTTTTGAGCCTTTAAACAAGTTTTTGGTGAAATCGGATTTTCTCGCTTATTGTTTAGGTTCGAGTCTCTATAGTTACGGTAGTTTGGTAAGATTAAACTTACTCTTTAATGCACAGAGTACGCGGTAAGACCTTACGGCCTCAGCGTAGATACAGTGAGGTCTCCTGTAGATAATTGTGAGGTACTGAGGGACAATGCTCCTTCACGGATACGTGGAGTGACTAATTTGCATATTCATTTTATTCACTAAAAAAAAAAGAAACAAGTTTTCAGAAGCAATAATGATGGATTTAAGAGTCCATGCGTGAATGTGTTTTTTTTGAAGATGATGGTAACACCTTTTCGATATTTTTTCTATTCGATAAGAGATTCGATTTCCGAATAATAACTAATACTAAAGTAAGACAAGAAAAGTCTCTCTCTCTCCTTTTTGAAATGTGAACCTGTTATTACACATTTCAACTTGCACTGAAGAACGATAGCATAATTTGCAAGTAAGCCAATGGTTCAGAGCCCAAGTACAGGAAGTCATAGTCATCTTTCAATGGTTGCACATGGTGCACTGGTAAAATGCTTGCTTTGCAGTTGGGCTTCACAGAGAGGAAACATAGTGACTTTTACCATAGGCATAGAAATTTTGGAAGATGAAACTGGGACAAGTAGCCCTTAATTTGCTGAGAATGTTTAAGTGACCTAGCATGTATACAACGCGGCTTTTATTTATGGTTTCAAATCATCCATACCGAAATCAACCGCTGGAGATTCATTTCGTTATGGTATTAAATCGGTACCATAGCCTTATCCTTAAATCCATAATTCAGATATAGTGGATTCTTTTTTTTTTTTGAACGATAGAGTGTGGAATTGATTACCCTAACTTATAAGAACAAAGTTGAGAGAGAGAGAGAGAGAGAGTAGGGATTTTTTTTAGTTTAATGTTAATTTTTTAAAGTTTGGGCAAAAAAACCTCGAATGAAAGCTTATGTAAATGCAAAAAAATTATAGTTTTTCAAACTCATGGTTACAACCAAATCTTAAATTTTCATGATGTTTTTGGTTTTACAATTGATGTGTGAATTGAAAAGGAAAATGATAAGATTTTTACGTAGATAAAAACAAGTGGGCAAATAATACCCTGGCTAACTAAGGTTACGACAGAGTGAAAGAATATGTTTTTAGGTTCGCATGCCACCTTCGTGACAACCGGAGTTTCAGACCACTCTCCTATAATAGTCAAAGTCAAGGTGGCGAAAATACCTCAACTGAGATCGCCTTTTTAACTTTTTCAATTGTTGGGCTGACTACCCTAACTTCTTATTGTTAGTGCGGGAGGTTTGAAAAGAAGAGATCTCACTTCTTTCTATTCTCTAATCTTATATGACAACTTGAAGTCTCTTATTTCACTTTCGCTAGTTATTGGAAACTCTAATCCACTTCCATTTAACGGTAGGTGAGAAAGGATAGCAAGAGAGGTAGAAGAGGAGTTTGCTGCCTATTGTCCATTTAGGGACTTCAACTTTTTACATAATTTTCATAATTTACAAAGTTTGAATTTTCATAATTTTTCGTGTAAGGAAGATTATGAGCGTGGTGGAAGTTGATGATAGGAAACTTTACGGGAGTGCTTGGGTTTTGTCCAAAGAAGGGGGATGTAAGTGTAAAATGAATGAATGAAATCCCTTGTTACTAGGAGACCATCTAATCAATAGAAGCAAATAAGTAACAAGAAACTTTTGGGGAAGTGTTGGGTAAAGAAATGGGGCGTAACTGCAATATGATAAAACCTCGGAAGAAAAGTATGCTTTCTTCGTCAAGCTGAATATGGATGGAGCAATTATCTCATTTTCGCTTGCACGATTTGCGACTTCTATCTATCAATCTTTTGTTTTTTAACGATCAAATAAAGAGTATTTGTGTCAGTTTATGATATTTCAGTTAATATTTTTTAGAAAAATATATATTCAGACCGTCTAAAGTTTGTCATTTTATCAGACAGACTCTCTTATGTATAAAACATTACACATGATTCCCTTCAATTATGTGCGCTTGTAACACATAAACCCAACAATGTTTAGCATCCATGAACGACCCATCAAAATTGCATACTAGCATAATATTATCAATTTATATTTCCTAAAATGCCCTTACCTTTGCTGGGACCACCATGGATCGCAAACAAAATACCAGATAATAAGATATCAAAAATTAATTCAAAAATTACAAAAATATTAGATAATACCTGTGTGAGAGAGCGCTTCAACAAAAGGCATGGATAGAGTTGAGAAATATGGGTGATATTTATAATTCTGGTTCTAACAGTCAAAATAGTCAGCAACAGTCATATAAGTCACCAACGGTTAGATCTGGTGGTCCCAGAAAAGGTACGGACATTTTAGGAAATGTAAACGGATAATACTCTTCCATTATGCAAATTTGACTGGTTGTTCATGAATGTTAATGTTGTTGAGTTTATATGTTACACGCGCACATAGTTGAAGGGAATTGTGTGTAATTTCTTATACTTGAGGGGGTCTGTCTGATTAAGCAATAAATCTCAAGGGTTTTGAATGTAAATTTTCCTTTTTTTTTTTTGATTCGATCAAAATCAGATCATTCATACCGAGATTAGAGTATTTATAAAGAATAAATCCCTAATGATCCGACTCCGAGTAGGACTGCCAACAGATCGGATCAAATTTGATTTGATCCTGATCTGTCAAGAACTGAATCCTATAAAAAAATCCAAGTTCCGAATCTTATTTGTTTATCCAAAAAATTTTAAAAT